CAGTCAATGTATGTCACAGTAGACTGAAATGCCTTATTATATGAAAAGATTGACTCACTGCAACTAATTTATGATTAGACATCACTGGGGTCAATGTGTTTTTTCGTTCAGATGGTCTTCATTGCTCTTTGTAATTTTTTTTTTCTGTTCTGACATCTGAAATGTCAATGAAAGATTTGTCAACATGCTGTTGAACTTCTTTGACCATGGGTTTTTCTTGTGGTTTGCATCTTGATGAAGCAATTACAAGGTGCAATTTTATATGTATTTTTGTAGGAAAACTACATTCACATTCTCTTGTAAACTTCTATTGATGATTTCAAAAGTGATTTTTTCTTGAGGTTTGATTTGACCATTTAGTGTTTGCTGTCACTGAATGTGGGCTTTATCCTATCAAATAACCCCATTTCTATAATTGACTACTTCTTTTTTAACTAGGTGGTTGGGTTGGTTATTTTTCATATGATACGGTCCGATACGTGGAGAAGAAGAAACTTCCTTTTTCAAATGCCCCTGTGGATGACAGAAACCTTCCTGATGTCCATCTAGGCCTCTATGATGATGTAATCGTGTTTGATCATGTGGAGAAGGTTAGCTACCATCCTCTCCAATATGTTTGGCTTTTGCTGAAGAACTAGCTTGGTGTCTTGGGGTTTCTAATTGTTGCTTAACATGCTCTATACATCTACCTCATGACCATGGTGAGCATAGTTGAAATTCTTTTTAAACACGGCCCAATAAAGAAAGAAGTATCTTTCACAAAAATGATTATCTTTCTTAAAGTAGATTGCAGATCAGTATTGCCTTATCCTTTTGTATAGATTCAAAATTTTCCCTACACATTAGTCTTGATGCCTATAAAATTCTGAATTAAATTTTTGCGGTATATAGCTTGTGGTTTCCGGTAGTATCATTCAAAATGGGACTGATTCAGTTTCTAGTTTATCTGTTAATTTGTTTTTTACCTTCTCATCTCTAAAATCTCAGAAAGCTTATTTGATTCACTGGGTGCGGTTGGATGAATTTTATTCGGTTGAGGAGGCCTACAATGATGGCATGAACCGGTTGGAGGCTTTGGTGTCTAGAGTTCATAATATTATCCCGTGAGCTACCAAACTCAAAACTTTTGTATAATATTTATGTGTTTGTTACTGTTAAATTATGTTATGTATGATATAATTGTTAAATGCAGTCCCAGGCTGGCTGCTGGTTCAATTAACTTGTATACTAGCCTTTTTGGTCCATCATTAAAGAATTCATCAATGCCAAGTGAAGACTATGAGAAAGCAGTGTTGCAGGCTAAGGAGCATATATTGGCTGGGGATATTTTTCAGATCGTTCTAAGTCAGCGTTTTGAGCGACGGACGTTTGCAGATCCATTTGAAGTTTACAGAGCATTAAGAATTGTCAATCCAAGTCCCTACATGACTTATTTACAGGTTTGCCTGCTTTCCACTCAAACTTGATACATTGTGTTTATTTTTTGACCGTTTCTTGGACGTGTCTTATGATCAGGCAAGAGGATCTATTCTGGTTGCTTCAAGCCCTGAAATTCTCACTAGAGTTAAGAAGGTAAACTACTGCAGTCTGTCATCATGCAATTCAGTTTTCTCTGTTCCGTTAAATTAGTGGCTCAAAGTAAGCATGATTTTTTTAATTAAGACCTTTTATCCATCTTTCTTGAGAATTGCACTTTTGATCTACTTTTTTACAGAAGCAGCTTAGTACACTAACCAGGTGTATTATCTGTTCTATGTTGCAGAGAACTATTACAAATAGGCCACTAGCAGGGACTATCAGGAGGGGAAAGACGCCCAAAGAAGACTACATGTTAGAAACTCAACTCCTTCATGATGAAAAACAGTGTGCGGAACACATTATGTTGGTTGATCTGGGGAGAAATGATGTTGGAAAGGTTTTCTCTTGGTCCTTTGATGTTACTTTCTTCATTTAGCAGATAAAGGAACATACATCTCATCGCATCACCACCTTCCCCAGCCCCTTCTGTGAGTAAAAGTGCTTTCCTGGTATTTGAAAGGGATGTGTAGGATTTAACCGTATCTTATCCTGCAGATTAATATTTTTGATTTTATTGGATTATTAAATCCTTATGCTTCTCAACAGGATTCTTTAGATTTATACTGTTAAGAATAACATTTCTTGTCTATCTACATGTAATCTCATGTTAGGAGTCTTTAAATACTTTGAATTAAATGACTGAAACTGCAGCTCCAATACACATCTGCTATCTTGTGCAATGTCTGTGTAGGTGTCTTTTTCATAGTAAAATGTCGCTCAGCATCTTGCCTTGTCAATCATCTTTTATGATGGTGGAACAACGTGAGACTTGATAAAAGATGTACTGTTGGCCGTCAACTTACAATGTATAAAGTATTTTGTTAATCTTGTAATGGTGCAATGCATTTGATCTTTTTGCGGAGATTATTTTTACCTCTTGATATTGTTATGGCACTGATTGTCTCATCAGGAAGTTTCTGTGATGCAGGTCTCAAAACCTGGTTCTGTGAATGTTGAGAAGCTCATGAACATTGAACGCTATTCCCATGTCATGCACATCAGCTCCACAGTAAGTTATTCTTATGGCCATATGTTAATTGTTCTCAATGAAAGAGTGATTTGCACAGAAAACAGAGTATGTTTGCAATTGGACAAATTGTTTAGACCAGAGCTCTTTACTTGATATGTTTAATGACCTTTTCTATTTGGGTAGTATATTTGATCAAAAGGTCTGTAATCCCAAACATTTCCGTTTCTCATTGGTAGAATTATGATTACCTTTTTTAATCGCTAGTTTTTTTTGTTTTGTTTAGATGCATCTGTTAAGGTTTTCTCCTAAAAGGGTATTGTTTTTGGTGGAAAAATAATTGACATGAGTGCATACACACAGTAAAGGCAGCGCATATGTTTTGCTTCGTCATTTGTAGCCAGTGGAGGAGCTGAGATTTGAGATTTGCTTCATACATGTTTGTGAATGTTGAACCTACTAAATCTCCTTTGCTGGTGCTATTTGCTTTTGCTCTATAGGATTCTGAAAATGATGGCATGATGGCATCCTACTTTGCAGGTTACTGGAGAGTTACTTGATCATTTGACTAGCTGGGACGCTCTTCGTGCAGCACTGCCTGTCGGAACTGTTAGTGGAGCCCCAAAGGTTCTTCATCTCCTTTCTATTTTGTATGCAGTCCGTCTTTTTGTTGGGTTTTGATTCAGTTGAAGATACCAGAGTTTTCACGTAGTCTAAACACACTATCTAAATAAAGATTCTTGACTGTATCATTACAATGCTCTTTATCATTGAAATGTGGCATTCTGCATATGATTCCACCCTATGATGTGTTTTTAGATGATTAGTTTGGTTTTATTTTGCACTGAAATAGGTAAAGGCCATGGAATTGATCGATCAGCTAGAAGTCACAAGGCGTGGACCTTATAGTGGTGGATTTGGGGGAATTTCTTTTTCTGGTGACATGGATGTTGCGCTAGCTTTGAGAACGATTGTATTCCCTACAGGAATGCGTTATGACACAATGTATTCGTACAAGGATGAATGCAGACGGAGAGAATGGATTGCCCATCTTCAGTCTGGGGCAGGTATAGTGGCTGATAGTGATCCTGCCGATGAGCAGAGAGAGTGTGAAAACAAAGCTGCTGCTCTTGCTCGTGCAATTGATCTAGCAGAGTCATCATTTGTTGAGAAATAACACAGTAAACTCCCATGGAAGTTGTTCCCCCTCCAATTTAAGTTTGCATATCTGTCATCAGGTAGTCGAAGACGAAAGTATGGTGTCAAAAAGCAAGAGTAGATGTGAAACCATACAAGTTTTCTTTGGTTGAATTTGGTTGTCTGTTGCTTTTTAGTGTTTAGGGAAACTCTGGCTTTTCTTTGTTCTCTCTCTTTCATTGTACTTTTGACTCTTGTAGAAAATTTTGCTTCTCACATACTTACTGGACATACGATTGTATATTGGAAATATATCATGTGCTACTGCAGATTTACAGGATCTCTAATAAATTTATATCATATACTGGGAAGCCCCTGAACGTACATCGGCTTTGATTGATTCTATGCTCTCTCCTTCCCCTCCTTTAGTTCCCGCATTGTATGGCCTGACTTCCCCAGCTTCTGCCAAACGATGCGGTCAGCCGAAGTGATGATGATTTTTAAGCCAGATTCGTTATATACTTATAGTAGCCAACCTTCCCTCGACTTTGCTTTTCTTCACTTTCTCTGACAAAGATTGATTGTCAGAGTGGATGCCAATGGTATGAAATAGGAGTTTGTTTATTATTTAGTTTTTAAAAAGGAGTCCAAAAAAATTGGCTGCTGCAAACGGGTAGTAGACGGAAACTAAAATATACAATTAAATTTTGAAACAGACGGCAAAAGACGAAAGCGAGTAACCAACCATAAAAGTCCCCGGGGGTTAGCTCGACCGGTTCCGTAGTCCCCTCTTTAGGGGCAGGTCCCGTGTTCGACTCTCTCCCGTTAACGTGCTGGGATCCGTGGGGCAGGCTCTTCCAGTCTGGGGGATTAGTCTGGTCAAATTGACCGGGATACCCCCAGTCAACCAAAAAAAAAAAAAAAAAAAAAAAAAGAAGAAGAAGAGGAGTAACCAACCATAAAAGAGACGTGAACTAACGTGAACATGTAAAGATCACAAGAAGACGAATAAAACGTAAAACTGATTTTGGTAGACTTCCCCGCAACAAAAAAGTTCTTTTTCTTTTCCTTTTATGTCCAGAATTAAAGCTTTTTATATGGATCCGCAATATAGAGATAGGGTATTATTTGAAATAATTACTGTAGCACTTTTTGTGATTTGATGTATGTGAGATAAAAAGGTGATTGGGAATATAAAAAGGTGGGTTGGAAAATGTGTTTATGATGCAAGCGAAATATTATTTGGGATAAATTTTGTATCCAAACACTGTAATCTAGAAGAACAACACTAAATTCCACGGTTTAAATAATGATAAGGTTATCTCCAACGTGGCGAAGCTATCCATCTTTTCTGCTGCGAGATTAATTCCTTTTTGTTTTCCTTCTGTTGGGTGTGGAATAGGTTTTGTGGTTCATCATGTACGTTAGCAAAAGAGGAGTCGTGATGTTGATGATCCATGAAAATGTCAAATTTTGGTAGCAAAATCCCGTCTCCGTACTGTGCTCCGATCGGTGTTCGTATCAGATTCCCTAATGTATTCGTATGTAAAAATGTAAATGTTAGTATTAAGTATTTATGCAAACGTTGAATTTGATGATGATCTAACCTAATTAAAGACACCGTCGCCGCTTTCCAGTCCAAGGTGACTTTTTTATGTTGAGAACTCAATTGTTTTCTTCTTTACACAAGCAAATTAATTCCCTTCAAAATTTGGTGTGGCTTACCTTCTTCAGAGATCAACTATGTCCACCACTAAAGTTTATGTAGTGTAAGTATTATTCGGACCAGTGATTTTCGTCCCCTTGATCTATATATGTTTTTGGATTGTTGAATAAAAGCTTTGATTTTGCTATATAGATATTATTCACTGTACGGGCATGTAGACAGTATGGCAAGAGAAATACAGAAAGGAGCCAATTCTGTGGAAGGAGTTGAGGCAACCCTTTGGCAGGTACTTCTCTGATGACCCTTTTGCGAAGATGTTAGCTTGGATGTAAAGATCTAATTTTTTTAACTGAATAGTTTTGATGGAAAGATGTAGGTGCCTGAGACTTTGCCGGAGAAAATATTGGAGAAGATGAAGGCTCCCGCAAAAGCAGATGATGTGCCCGAGATTAGGCCGGAGCAGCTTGTGGAGGCTGATGGTTTTCTGTTTGGTTCTCCTTCTCGGTTTGGGATGATGGCTGCCCAAGTCAAGGCTTTCTTTGATGCTACTCATGAACTTTGGGCTACTCAGGCGCTTGCTGGCAGGCCTGCCGGGGTCTTCTGGAGTACTGGTTTCCATGGTGGTGGCCAGGAGCTTACCGCGTGAGTTTTTTCTGCTTCATTATCTTTATGGTTCGATTATTCAGAATCTGCGTTTGCGTTTAACTGAAAATATTAGGGGATTATATGCATGATTAATGTGATCGGATTCGTGGGATCTTGCTTTAGTTTACCTTGATTAATTTCAGGAGGTAGCTGGGATAGAACACCTTAATTACTACTCTGATGGTCTATGAGGATGATCATGAATTTGAAGAATTGTCTATGATTTCGGGTCCTGTGGGAGCTTTGCTTGATAGCTTTGGAATTTCCTCCTCTCTATAAAAAAATTGACACGGTTACAAAGTCTCTGCTGGAGTCATACATATTGAAATTATTTCCTCTGACGATCCAGAAGCCCAACTTTCGTTTTCTGCCTGTAAATGTTGTCAATTCTACATGGTTAACCCATTTTTCATGTGTGGATGCGGTGTATTGGTACATCAACCAAGTAGTACTCCCCTCTCTAATGGTTTATGATTGTAGTTTAAGTTATCTGCCTAAGCTTCTATTTGGAGTTCCTAGACAACTAACAAGGGAATAGGAAGTGCTGATATTTGAACAGTTAGCCTCCTTTATCAGATGAATGGTTCCACAAAGTGTTATATTTGCTTTTATTTCCCTTTCCAGCTCCTGCCCGCACTTACCTTTCTTAGTGCTGGATAACTTCAAGAATCTGAATTTGACTGAAACACTTCCAGTTCCAAGTGCTAGGCCCCCTTTTCCTTGTGTTCAATTGCTACTTACTAATCCTGACACCATTTGTTTGTTGCAGATTAACATTCATAACACAGTTGGCACACCACGGGATGATATTTGTTCCTCTTGGGTATACCTTTGGGAGTGGAATGTTTGAGATGAATGAGGTAAAGGGTGGATCTTCCTACGGCGCTGGAACTTATGCAGCAGACGGATCTCGTCAGCCTACGAAGCTGGAACTTCAGCAAGCCTTTCATCAGGGAAAGTACGTTGCTGAAATTACCAAAAAGCTGAAAAAATCTTCCCCTCAAGTGTAGCGAATATCAAGTTGTACTAGTTTATACCAAAATTTGCAAGTGTTAAAAATTACATCAATGACTTTGAACTGTACAAGTCACCTTATCACGCCCGTTTCCGCAAAGAACAATAAAATTCTAACAAAAAGGTAATGATATTTTGGTGTAAATTTTTTTTTCAATTTTATTGTTATCAACTTTCGATGAGATATTTTACGATATTTCACACCAACAAATGTAAAATTTTCAAAAAAGTATTATAATATTTATTTAATGTTCGATTAAGATCGATGAACTTTCAAATCTCATATAGTAAATTGAAACTCGAACTCATCAAACCATTTGAACTATTCGAACTCAAGTTTAAACTTTCATTGAGCAGTTCAAAACTGAAGTTTGACTTTTCACTGAATAACTCAATTGAGTTCGATTTATTTTCATCCTTATTATCTATTAGTTAAATCGAAATTTCTCTCTCTGGAAAAAAAAATACAAAAATAATAGAAAAAAGTTATGGGCCAAAATCTTTCTGGTCCATCAGATAATTTTGGACAAATTAACCACATGGGCAAATTTTGGACAAAAAGTTGGCTTTGTCTGGATTGCATTTTTCTAGATTATTTGTAGAAAAATTACTGTAGCGATTTGATATACTCCTTTCCTTTTTTATAACTGACGTTTAAGAAATTTGCTCTAGTGTACTTTTATCTATCATTTTATTATCCCCATACAGTATTAATTATTTTTTCACAATTTTACCCTTTTATCTCTCTTTTCCAATACAGGGTTCTTAATTACTACTTTTAGCCTAGTAAAATAGCACCATTTAGTATTCTAGTGAGAGAAAACATGGGTGAATTAGACAATTAATGAGGGTACAAAAGGAAAGTAGTGTACAGATTTAATTGGTGTGCAAAACCTTAAACGTCAGTTATAAAAAAAGGGAGGGAGTATATGAGGTAAAAAGGTGATTGAGAAATGTGTTCACGGAAAACGTAGAAAAATTGCTGTCCAAACAAATGATTCCAAAATGTTGGAGAAAAATTTGGCTGTTCTTGTTAAGCCAATGTTGATTAACTTGAAACATAATTGGGTATTTAATCTGAAACGTAATTGGGCATTTATAGTTTAGGGGGAGATTTCAAGTTTTACAGCGAGAGCGCTCGAGAATTTGAACTTAGAAACTTCAAACATAATTGGACATTTAATCCGAAGGCCATTAATGATTAACCCGAAGCGTAACCGCTAATCCTCGCAAAGTCCAGTGCTAACTGTCAACTCTTACATTCTACAAAGCGTTGGCAGTCGGGTAGACTTTGTGCGTGTATTTGTATTCTGTCTTTATCACAATTCACAAAACTCAGCTATAATACTCAATCAGTCATCATCTACTTCTCCCTCTGCCGTTCCATATATTAATTAAGAGAAAAATGGAGAGCCTGTGGCGATCGGTGACCGGCGCCAACCCGGACCCATCTGACTATTCCGGAGTGGAGTTCTGGTCCAACCCGGAGCGCTCCGGTTGGCTGACCAAGCAAGGCGAGTACATCAAAACCTGGCGTCGTCGCTGGTTCGTTCTCAAACAAGGCAAGCTGCTCTGGTTCAAAGACCCTTTTGATTCCTCCACCAGCTCCGCCATTCCACGTGGCGTCATCTCCACTGCCGATTGCCTCACCGTCAAAGGCGCCGAGGACGTCCTCAACAAGCCCTTCTCTTTCGAGCTCTCCACTAGCAGGGATACCATGTACTTCGTGGCTGATTCGGACAAGGAGAAAGAAGATTGGATCAACTCCATCGGACGCTCAATTGTGCAGCATTCCAGGTCCGTTACTGATTCTGAGGTCATTGATTACGATAGCAGCAGGGCTTAATTTCCGCCTTTCCAATGTAATTTTGGCTTTGCCCTTCTACTGGTAGACTGGTCCTAGGATTTTATTTACCATTTGGGGGGCACTCGGCTGCATCATTTATGTATGTGATCGTGAAGGTTGTTCGTGAATTAGTTGAATGGTGATGTTAAATTTGTGATGTCTTTGTTTAATCTATTTGTAATTAACCTTAATGCCTTTGGTTAGCACTTTGTTATCGTGAATTAAATTGTTGAGATTGTTGTTCCATCTCTACAAGTCAAGTTCAACAAGGAGCGGCAATTGTAATCTACATCCCCATGTTAACTACAGAAACAAACAATTTCAACGTGTTTGATCTTTATTGAAGAATCCCTATAACAACCAAAATTTTGTACTGCTCTTATCTTCTTTTAGAAATTAGAATGGACAGTTATTGGTCCAGGATAAAAAAAATTCTGAAAATATCATATTGTCATTGCATCTTTTAGTAAGGATGCGTGCCGCCCCTGGTTACAGTTCCTTGCTTTTTTGATGTTTGCCTCTGATGGAAACTAGTCTCTGCCCAGCTTCTTTGTTTTCCAGTCTGAGTCTTGGGAATTTCGCTGTGCATGACACTCCAATTCTAGTATAGCTTAAACATTCAGTGGGTTTGATCACAGGAAAATAGGCATGCGCAGTAGCTTTTTAGGGGTTCTTGCATCTCTTCTTTGTAAACTAAATTCGACTCTGTTGCTATACACATCTTCGTGTTTTCATATGTCACATGCAAAAATACGACAGAAACTGAGTTCTGGAGTGTGTGTTTCCTTGTTGCAATCATTCACGAGGTCTTTGCTTTCCATTCGATATGAGCTGAACCTATAATAATTTGTGAAGAAAATCTATCAGCGAGCTGTCCTATGGTAGATGGGGACTAGTTTATTCCTTCTTAACTTTTCTGGCGAAGTACGCTGCAACGAAACTAATCAAGAGAGCTAGCGACGGGGATGGGATGAGCTTAACTACTATCAACCCCGAAAACAATAATGCTATATGGATTAAACATGAGCTTCGACAGGGAATAATAGTCTCGGAGTGAAGTTATGAAATGCGGCCACAAAAGCTTAAATCCCAAAAATAATCATCTGCACTGAAAACTTCTGAAGACTCGTTGGGGGGTGGAATCTTGCCTACAAGCTAGCTGAAATGGTATAGAACAATTCTGCCTGACAGGCCGTTGCTGGAAAATCTGTGTATTCAAAACTTTTTTAAGTGATGCATGGACGGAATGCCCTACAAAGAGATCATCCGGCAGTTAAAGTGGTTTCAAGTCAACGATTACCATAGGCTTGACTATCTCAGCAAACAAAACAACTTACTGTTGTTCAATACTGCAAGTTTTACAGTATGTTTCAGGTTTCTAACTAACCACCAACCTTTGAGCTGGTGGCCACCACCTAGCCATTAAGGCCACCAAAAATGTCACATTTAAGTGGTTTGCTTCAAAAATTCAGCGGGTGTGCAGTGCATCCGTCTGATCCGGTGGTGGTTCAGTCCTCTCCGGATTATCCCTGGGCCTCCTTAAGTCCGCCCCCTCCCCCTTAGTGTAAGATAGATTAGGTTATACAACAGTTGTCGTATCCGAAAAAAAAAAAAAAATCAGGTTTCCAACTCCGGTGGGGAAGGGGCCTGACTGTGAACAAACTGGATGATATCTCAGGACAAAGAGTTAAGGATGAAAGGCACATAATTTGCCAGGGAAAGTTGCCATTCAAATTATTTTCACAATCAAATTCAAAGCAAAATTACGTTTATTGAAATGCTCATTCCCTCTAAAAGATTCAGCTTTTGCAGTTGCCCTTGACCCTTATCTTCAGAATGCTGCTAGTTCTCCAAGCTTGAAAAAGTTAGTACGTGGTAACAACAGAAAAGAAGAAAGGCGAAAACTGAAAAAACGCAAAAAACTGGACCGGTATTTAAGGGGGGAAATTGCTGATATAATAAACTCGGAAGGCCAAAGGTCAACTTGCTCATAATTACAAGGAGGTTCATTCTAATTACGCCCGGAGTTGATTGATGATTGGTTGTTCGTTAAAAAAAAAAAAGAAAAAAAGATTGGTTGTCCGAAAACATTAAAACATTAATCAGCGATCCCTCCAGTTCCAGAATCTGCAAGTGAAAAGTTTAACGGAGGGGATGAAATTCTTCTTTACGTTGAGTTCCACTTCCATCCATGTATAGCTGAATTAGAACAGTTTGAACCCAAATGCTTGTGGAGGACGATTAACATTTTATTAGCCATTACTAAACGATGCGCACGGGATAGTAATCATCTTATGTCCTGTGTAGTTTGATAGAAAGCCAGGAAAAGGGTGCCACAAGCAAAGCAAAACTCATGGCCATTTCATGCACCCCTGCTATCAACAACCTTCCACTTAACCGCCACCCAACTCCTGTTTCCATAACTGTCAATAACGAACGTTACTTAGCAGACCACCCTCTACTCTTACAGCTGGACCGATGCTCCGACTCTACACAGCTCAAGCAAATTCACGCTCGAATGCTACGAATCGGGCTCTTTTCCGACCCTTATTCGGCCAGCAAGCTCATCCAGGTCGCAGCTTTCTCGGAAGTCTCAAGCATCCAGTATGCCCAGAAAGTGTTTGATCAAATTCCCCGCCCAAATCTTTACTCTTGGAACGCCCTCATTCGCTCCTATGCTTCCAGTCAAGAACCCGTTAATGCCCTTTTGATCTTTATCAAAATGCTTCATGGGAGTGATGAATTGCCTAATAAATTTACGTTTCCTTTTCTGATCAAAGCCTCTGCACTGCTTTCAGCTCTGTCGGTTGGAAAAGGGCTCCACGGGATGGTGCTCAAATCGGAGTTTGGGTCTGACTTGTTTGTTCTTAATTCTTTGATCCATTTCTATGGTGAATGCGGGTGTTTCGATATGGCGTACCGGGTTTTCATGAGCATGCCCAAAAGGGACGTTGTTTCTTGGAATTCAATGATCGTCGGGCTTGCACAAGGCGGTTATGCTGAAGAGTCATTGGACTTGTTCTTCAGGATGGAGGGAGAAAATGTGAGGCCCAATGACGTCACCATGATAGGAGTCCTGTCAGCTTGCGCAAAGAATTTAGACTTGGAGCTCGGGAGGTCAATGCATTTGTATATTAGGAGAAATGGGATTAAGGAGAGTTTGGTATTAAATAATGCAATTCTTGACATGTATGTGAAGTGTGGGAGTATGGAGGATGCAAAAAGATTGTTTGACAAGATGGGGGTTAAGGACATTATTTCATGGACAACTATGCTTGTCGGGTACACGAAGGTGGGGGATTTTAGT